CGAAATGCAGATGGCTGGAAGGGCCTTGTGTTTGTTTGTGTTTTTGTTGATGTTGTTATTACTGCTGTTTTTGTTTTTTTTTCTTATTTTTTCTTATTTTTCTTCTTTCAAGGAATTACGTGTTTTTGTGGCGATGTCAGTGGATTTTATCTGTTATTTATCTATTATTCTATCTATTCACTTTTGTCTATCGTCATTCTTGGTGTTGTTGTTCTTCTTATTATTATTTTATCCAGGGTATTTGTTTGTTTGTTTGTTTGTTTTTGTTTACTTCGAATTTATCTCTATTAATTTTTTTGTTTCTCTTTTTATATAATAAACTTTATATTCTCTCTTTTCTTCAAATGGTCATTCAGTTTCTTTCGTCTATCCTTTATCTTCTCTTCTTCTTTTATCCTTTTATTCTCTCGTTTGATTTGTTTTTATTTTATTATTACTATAATTATTATTGAATTTCTGCTCTTATCATTCACTTCTTTCTCTCTTTGTTTATCATTCACTTCTTTCTATCCTCCTTTCCCTTTTCCTTCAAAGAGAGAGAAAAAAAAAATAGATAAATTGTAAGAATAATCTATCAGCAAAATCTTTAATGGTTGACGGGAAGTGTCTGGAAATGATCGATGTTCATTTGTTATATTTCCGCCCTTCGTTATAATTTATATAATTTCTTCGTTATAATTCCTCTGTCGGTTCTCTGTCGTTGAAGGGATGGTATATTGCCGACGAATGATGTATTCTAGAAACTGGCTTTTGTGTGTCTCTTCTTTGAAATGTTATGCGCGAAAGTAGAGTAAATTTTTTCTTTGATAGTTTTCCCGCGCGATTCTTGTCACAACAAAGGGTAGTTTTAGTTTATTTTTCTTCTTAGTCGGTCGATAGGACACTTCCAAAAAAAAAGAAATAATAAAATAAATTGCAGCTATTCACCTATCTTGTTCTTCTTCGTATTTCATCATCAAGTATTCCAAGCCTGACAGCCGAACTTAAAAAAAAAAATAACTAGAAACTTCTCGAATAAAAGAAGAAGGAATGAAACAAAATGGCGCCGAGACACACACACCACGTGACGACACACCGCAAGGAGAATGATCGTCAGAAGTTCTAACGATGAAAAAAAAACCCTCTTTATGAACGATTTTGCTTGAAGTTCAGCCGGACGCGATTCTCAAGAAGTGTTCAAAGTTTGCTCAACCTTAGTGCGTTTCTCTTCCGCCACGCCAGCTGTAGATGTTTCATTGGAGATTCCGATAGAGGCGAAATTGCGTTGTATTTCTCAGCTGATGCATGTCCACAGAAAACGGGATTTGTCGACGCAGAAAATGAAGAAAACGGGAATTTTTTTTTTATTGAGGGACGAATGAATTAAGTTGTCGGGTTGATAATTAGTGTTCTCTTTATGTTTTTTTTTTCTTCTCTTTTTTCTCTGTATTGGTCTAAGCTGTGATAAAATACTTGTTGCCAGAAAAGCAAAAGAGTGATTAAAGCACACAAACACTTGCTAAGATAAAAATAAGCAACACTTTGCAACGAATTTTTTTTCCCTCTTGCAGACAATCTAACTATTTTCTACACTATTTTCCACCCTTTCCTTCGGACTTCTTATCTCCCTCTCCTTCCTTCCCTTCTTCCTCCTCCTCTTCCTCTGACGACGTCTCCTCCACTTCTTCTTCTTCTCCTCTCTCTCTTCTCCTCCTCCTTTCGGCTTCCTCCTGTTGGCGCTTTCGGTGTTTCCTTGTACTTAGGTGGAACATGGCGCCTGCAAAGAAAAATCGGAAAAGGTTTAAAAATGGATCATGGCCTTTTTATTTATTTGTTTGTCTATTGATTATTATTATTGCTATTATTATTAAAATTATTATTATTATTATTATTATTATTATCATTATTGTTGTTGTTGTTGTCGTTGTTGTTGTTGTTTATCTATTTCTCTCTCTCACTCACTCACTCACTCTCTCTCTCACTATCTCTCTCACTCACTTTCTCTTTCTCTTTCCCTTTCCCTTTCCCTTTCCCTTTCCTTTCTTCCCTCTCATTCCCCATCTCCCTTTTCCTTCTTTCCTCCCTTTCCCTTCCCCTTTCCCTCCTTCACTCTCTCCTTTCCCCATCTCCCTCTCTCCTTCCTTCGTCCTCTTCCCTTCCCCATCTCCCTCTCTCCTTCCTTCCTCCTCTCTCCTTCCCCTCTCCCTCCTTCACTCTCTCCTTCCTTCCTCCTCTTTCCCTCCTCTCTCCCTCCTTCACTCTCTCCTTTCCCCATCTCCCTCTCTCCTTCCTTCCTCCTCTCTCCTTCCTTCCTTCTCTTCCCTTCCCCACTTCCTCCATCACTCTCTCCTTTCCCCATTTCCCTCTTTCCACCCTTCCTCCTCTTTTCCTTCCCCTCTTCCTCCTTTCTCTCCTTCTCTCCCACGTTTTTTTCCCCTCTCCTTTTTTTCTTGTTTTTCAATTATCGCCCCTATGACCGCCACGGGGAAAGATGTCTCCTTTGGTTCCGACCAGAGACGTGAGTAGGATCTTAAAAGGGGAGAGGGAGGGGGAGGGGAATGGGGAGAGGAGAGGCAGGGGAGAGGGAGGGGGAGAGGAGGGGGGGGGGGGAATGGGGAGAGGAGAAGAGGGGGAGAAGAGGGGAAGAGGAGGGGGTGAGGGAGGGGGTGAGGGAGGGGAAGAGGAGGGGAGAGGAGGGGAAGAGGAGGGGGTGAGGGAGGGGAATGGGGAGAGGAGAGGCAGGGGAGAGGAGGGGCGAGAGAGGGGGAGAGGAGGGGAAGAGGAGGGGGTGAGGGAGGGGGAGAGGAGGGGGTGAGGGAGGGGAAGAGGAAGGGGCGAGAGAGGGGGAGAGGAGGGGAGAGGAGGGGAAGAGGAGGGGGTGAGGGAGGGGGAGAGGAAGGGGAAAGGAGGGGGAGAGGGAAGGGGAGAGGAGAGGAGAGGCAGGGGAGAGGAAGGGGCGAGGGAGGGGGAGAGGAAGGGGAAGAGGAGGGGGTGAGGGAGGGGGAGAGGAGGGGGAGAGGAGGGGAAGAGGAGGGGGAGAGGGAAGGGGAGAGGAGAGGAGAGGCAGGGGAGAGGAAGGGGCGAGGGAGGGGAAGAGGAGGGGGTGAGGGAGGGGGAGAGGAGGGGGCGAGGGAGGGGGAGAGGAGGGGAAGAGGAGGGGGTGAGGGAGGGGGAGAGGAAGGGGAGAGGAGGAGGAGAGGGAAGGGGCGAGAGAGGGGGAGAGGAGGGGAAGAGGAGGGGGCGAGGGAGGGGGAGAGGAGGGGAAGAGGAGGGGGAGAGGGGAGAGGGAGGGAGAGGAGGGGAAGAGGAGGGGGCGAGGGAGGGGGAGAGGAGGGGAAGAGGAGGGGGCGAGGGAGGGGGAGAGGAGGGGAAGAGGAGGGGGTGAGGGAGGGGGAGAGGAGGGGGTGAGGGAGGGGGAGAGGAGGGGAAGAGGAGGGGGTGAGGGAGGGGGAGAGGAAGGGGAGAGGAGGAGGAGAGGCAGGGGAGAGGAAGGGGCGAGGGAGGGGGAGAGGAGGGGGTGAGGGAGGGGGAGAGGAAGGGGAAAGGAGGGGGAGAGTAGAGGAAGGGGCGAGGGAGGGGGAGAGGAAGGGGAAAGGAGGGGGAGAGGGAAAGGGAGAGGAGGGGGAAAAGAAAGGGGTGCTGAGGAAGGGAGGGGGTGGGAGAGGGGGAGGGGGAAGAGGGAGAGGAATGGGAGAAGGGGGGGGAGGTGTGAGGGAGAAGGTAGAGGAGGGGTGGGGAAAGAGGAGGGGGAAGGGGCGCGGGAGGGGAGGGGACGGGGGGTAAGGGAGAGGCAGGGAAAGAGGAGGAGGGAAGGAGTAAGAGTGAGAGGCGATGAAAAGGAAAAGGGGGGAAGAGGGAAGAGGAAGAGGAGTGGATAAGTAAGGGGGTGGAGGAGAGGAAAGGGGAGGAGGGGCGAGGAAGGGGGAAGAGGGGAGGGAAGGGGGAGGGGGAAGAGTAAGAGTAAGAAGTAAAGGGAGGAAGATTAGAATAGGGGAGGGAAGGCTAACAAAATCACATATATAATATATATATTATATGTGTGTATACATATGTGTGTGTGTGTGTGTGTGTGTGTGTGTGTGTGTGTGTGTGTGTGTGTGTGTGTGTGTGTGTGTGTGTGTGTGTGTGTGTGTGTGTGTCTGCCTCCCCTCCTCTCACTCACTCTCTCTCTCTCTCTCTCTCTCTCTCTCTCTCTCTCTCTCTCTCTCTCTCTCTCTCTCTCTCTCTCTCTCTCTCCATTGACTTTCTATACCCCTTTTTATCTCAGTATCCCACACCCGTTTTCCCAATTTACCACCCCCACCCCTTTCCCCCCCTCCTACCCTCCCTCCCCCCTCCCACCTCCTCCTTACTCCCTACCTCCCCTTTCCCCCCCCTCCGTTCCAACCCCCCCTACGTCATTCCTTCCCTCCCCCTCCCCCATCATCCACCCTTTCCCACTCCCTCCCCATCCCCACCCTCTCCTCCTTACATCCCTTCCCCCCTCCCCTCCACCCCCCCCTACGTCATTCCATTACTTCCCTCTCCCCCCACCCCCTACCACCCCCTTTCCTTCTACCCCCCCTACCTCCCCCCTTTCCCCCCCACTCCCTCCCACCCCATCCCCACCCCCCCCCCACCCCCCCAAGGTCCTGATTGCAACATGTTCGAGAATAATGTTTATTTGCGCGAAGTATCTTCCGTACTCCACGAAACTCCACGGGAAAAGGAGGAGGAGGAGGAGGAGGAGGAGGAGGAGGAGGAGGAGGTGGGGGGGTGGAGGTGGGGGGTGGGGGGGTGGAGGGGAGGGGGGGAGGGGGGAGGGGGAGGAGGGGGTTGAGTTAAGGCGATGCGAAAACCGAATTATAGAAATCGAGTTGATTTTTCTTTTTTTCTTTTTTTTTTCTTTTTTTTTGTGTTTTTTTTGGTTTTGTTTTGTTTTCTGCTTGTTTTTTTTTGTTTTTGTTTTGTTTTCTGCTTGTTTTTTTTTGTTTTTGTTTTGTTTTCTGCTTGTTTTTTTCTGGCTTGTTTGTTTTTTATAC